CCACAGTTGAGATACAGTTTCGCTGGAGATGCTGAGGGAGAGGGAGTCCAGCTTGTCCTCCGCCAACTGTTAAAGCGGGCAGCACTAATTGGTGGAAACATCGTTAATTGGTGGAAACAGACTAGCGCCGCTTCAAACCAAGCCTCCTGACACGCCACAGCCTCTGCACAACTATGTAAAACTCGACATTAAGCCGTATGGATTCAAAAAAAGGAATAACACGAAACCCACGTATTGAACACCGTACTGAATTTCCACAGAGCACCAGTGGTTGCCCAGCCCGGCAACCACTGGCGTTCTGTGGGAGCAAAGATTCTTGCTCCAAAACGGCGTCTCCGTTCAACTGAATCGTAGGCGTCTTCTTGTTAAGGAAGTCTGGCCCGGTCTCTGAGATTGTCCCACTTTTTCGGCTCCATAGTAAGTAACGAGGGCGCTCAGGACCCCATAAGTGGCGGTTTTGACATTATCATCTAGAAAGCTCGGTTGGCCTACAGCACACCGTGGCTAATAGGAAATTGAAGCACAGAGGCGGTGGCCTCCATGGATGCGCCATGTACTCGACTTCCTTTCCAAACGCATCACCCATCCTGCAAGCTACGTCGCTGCTGTGTTCAGTACTGATCTTTGCAAATACGACCCCCCCCCCGAATCCACGACGAATGGCCGTGAGAAAACGAAGTTCGATAGCGTATTCTATTTCCTCTCGAAAAATCCGTGGGCAGTGGTTGACAAAGGCCTGAAAATGGTTCTTTGACCTCATTGAGAACATACGTGTTTCACTATTGTCAGTGATGACGTCGTCCCATAAAAATACTGTAATTATATCGAGAAGGACGCAGTTGTTCTGCATACAAACGAAATTTGAGAGAAAAAGGGTTCCAGCCCACTAACACAATTTGTCATCAGTTTTCGCTTATCTCCTGATCATGCAAAATCCAATGACGTACGAAGTGTTGACGCTTGCTAGAACGCACCTCTTTACACATGAACGACGTTTAAACCTCAAAGAACGCAACAAAAATCGAGCATTCTTGGTAGAAGCTCACCAGCTTCATATCCTAACAGTACAGATTAAAACAGTCAAGCGCACGAGTACCATGATGTCCCGTTCTCTGGCGCTGTTCGGCTTGGGAGAGGCATTTTGCACTTTCGCTAGTTGCTTCTGCTAGTTCATGTTGATAAACAGATTACGTTTCGATGAGACCTGTAAACTCCTGTGGAGTTGCGAAATATTACAGGTGAGTCACTTCGGTTACAGGAATTTACAGGTCTTAACAAAGCGGACTGAACTTGCTTTGCTAATACTGTTTGAGCCCACAAAAAGCCGAACTTCGCCCTGTAGCGCAATAGAAGCGTAGACCGCAATCATGTTTTGCGAATCGAGTCATTCACTCGTGCTATTCCTCATTCCGACCGCGCTCTACTGGTAATGATTGGACCAATTCAACCGCTAATTCACGACAATAAGTGATCCACCATACACATTTCGCAAAGCAGCGTGCAATGTACGACAGTAATGCGCACGAATACCATAATGTTCCGTGATCTCTAGCGCGGCGCTGTTCGTCTTGGGAGGGGCATTTTGCACTGTCGTTGGTTTCTCCTGCTAGTTCATGTAATTAATAGGTCAGATTTTGGCGAACTGTAAACTGCTTGAGCTGCAAAGTAAAAGGGAGTCACTTTAATTAAAGGAATTCGAGGGTCTTAACATGATGGACTGAATTGCTAAGTACAATGTGCTGCCCCCACCAAGCCAAACTGCTCCCTCTAGCGCAGCAGAAGAGTAGGGCCACGTTCACACTTTACGACTCAGGCGGCGTGCTAAACCTTAATCCGCCCGCGAACATTTTCAATGCAGTTTGATTTCAGGAGCCGAACCCAAACTGGCTGAAAGGGAGATGTATGAGGCAATGGAGTTGGAGCTGAAATTGGTGAA